CTGAAAACAGAAAGACAACCAGACCAAACAAGAAGAACGTTTCACCAACTCCTGAAGGCAGTGAGTTTATTAATATCTTTACATAATATTATAGAACACAATGTGTTTTATTCTAATTTAGTTTGGCATGTTTGCAGTTGAGTGGCTCCTTTTGAGGTTAGAAGATGATAAACTGTATAAGATCAGTGACGTCACATGAAACTCTTTGGCTTCATGATTTAGATTCATCTAAACTGTTTTACCAATTATTTGTGTAATTTGATTAAAATTTAAAAGAGTTTAAAGTCATTAACTATTTTATTTTTTTTTACGTTATTTTATAGAAAAGTCAGGAGGAAAAGTTAAATCAACAACAAAACCTGCATCTAGAACAACCACCAGACCAAAAACAGACAATGTTTCAAAACCCTCTGAAGGTAATGATTTTGTTAATAATATTATTATTCTTTGACTTTGTGTTTGATTCAGGCTTTAATATATTTTTTTCAGAGGAATGGCTCTTTAGTTTGCTACTCATTATTTTAGAGGACAAAACTGGGAGTTAAAATATTCCTGAAAATATCCAAGAGGTTTAGCATCACTGATATTTTATGAGGATTTGAACATGTTTGTGTTTTTAATTAACTGATAAAAATATGTATTTCAATTTACACTGAAAGTCCCCAGATTTTTATTTGATTCAGGTTGGATGGAGGCATCAGATACAAACATAAAAACATTTACTGTGTTTTTCTATTTGTGTTTTTGACTTCAGTGAAGACAGAAGGAAACTCTGGACAAACAATAAAACCTGAAAACAGAAATTCACTGTCAGTCACAACTGAAATGAATGTTTCACCATCAGTTAAAGGTGGAGGTTTTTTTGTCTTAAAATATTATTTAAAGATTTACGTGGCATTCCTGCACTTTTCTAAAACACACCACTTTAAATCACTTTGTTTTACGTGAAATATTGAAGTATTAACATAACCTTGAACCTCACCTGCTATAAGTGAGAGATATTTTAAATTGTTTATTTTATTATTATTTCCGTTTGGAACCCAGCAACAAATAAAGCCACTTATTCTATTTAAGTCTCTTCAACTTCAGCTCCGACCAACAGGACATCTGAAAATATCAAGATCATTATCCATCATTTATTTGAGATCTAAAAATGATTTTTTCATGTTTTTTTTTTATTATTTTTATTCAGGATAGGATTCTCTGAGTTTTAGTTTTCATTTTAATAAGTCAGTGATTTTTAATCTTAGCTTTCTTTCTGAGCTTCATTGATAATTTTTTATATATAGTGATGTTTTCTTTCTGGTCATTATTGACTCATCTTTTTCCTGTTACAACAACTCCTTAGTTTTATTGATGAATTTTAATGTCTTATTTATAGTTTTCCATTAAATGCAGCCACAAAGGGGGTCATTTTGTGTCTTTTGTGCCCCAAGCCAGGATAAATGAGGAGGGTTGTGTCAGGAAGGGCATCCGATGAAAAACATTTGCCAAATCTGACATGCGAGTCAAGAATATGATCTGAAGTATATCGGATCGGTCGAGGCCCGGATTAACAACGACCGCCATTGGTGCTGGTGACCAATAGGGTACCAGTGGAAACTGGACTACTGTTCGTCAGCAAAGAAGGGGAGGAAGACATTTTCGTAGGCAGAGAGAGAAGAGAAAAAGTAAGAGTGTAGAACTGAGAGTAGAAACTTTAATGTTGGGACTTTGACAGGAAAAGCTAGAGAGTTGGCTGATGTGATGCAGCGGAGAAAGGTGGACATATTGTGTGTCCAGGAGATCAGGTGGAAAGGCAGTAAGGCTGAAGTCTAGGAGCAGGGTTCAAGCTGTTCTGCTATGAGGTGGACAAGAAGAGAAATGGTGTAGGGATTGTCATAAAGGAGGAGTTGATCAGGAATATTCTGGAGGTGAAAAGAGTGTCAGGTAGGTTGATGAGCCTGAAGTTAGAAACTGAAGGTATGATGCTCAATGTGGTTAGTGGCTATGCCCCACAGACTGGATGAGAGTTAGAAGAGGAGGAGAATTTCTGGAGTGAGTCAGATGAAGTGATGCAAAATATCCACAAAGGCGAGAGAGTGGTGACTGGGACAGATTTTAATGGACATGTTGGAGCAGGGACCAGAGGTGATGAGGAAGTGATGGGCAGGTTTGGCATCCAGAACAGGAATGCAGAAGGACAGATGGAGGTAGACTTTGCAAAGAGGATGGAAATGGCTGTAGTGGATACTTTCTTCCAAAAGAGACAGGAACACAGGGTGACATACAAGAGCGGAGGTAGGAGCACGCAGGTGGATTACATCTTGTGTAGCCGAGACAATCTGAAGGAATTCAGTGACTGCAAAGTGGTGGTAGGTGAGAGAGTTGCTAAATAACACAGGATGGTGGTGTGTAGAATGACTCTGAAGGTGAGAAAGGTGAAGGGGGCAACGTTTGAACCGAGGACAAAATGGTGGAAGCTGAAAAAGGAAGAATGTTGTGTGACTTTCACGGAGGAGTTCAGACAAGCTCTGGGTGACCAGAACATGCTTCCAGATGACTGGCCAACTACTGCTCATGTTATCAGGGACACAGGTAGGAGAGTACTAGGTATGTCTTCTGGAAGGAAACTTGACAAGGAGACTTGGTGGTGGAATAAGGAAGGAAGTGCAAATATGGGTACAGAGAAAGAGAGCAGCCAAGAAGAAGTGGGACAATGTGAGGACTGAAGAAAGTCACCAAGAGTACAGGGAGATGCAGCGTAAATGAAGGTAGAGGAAGCTAAGGCCAAACAAAGTGCATACACTGACTTGTATAATACACTGGAGAGTAAGGAGGGAGAGAAGAACTTATGCAGGTTGGCGAGGCAGAGAGGTAGAGATGGGAAGGATGGGCAACAGGTTAGGGTGATGAAGGACCAAGATGGAACTCTACTGACAGATGCAAAAAAATGTGATAAGAAGATGGAAGGAGTACTTTCCAGAATGATCAGCTATAAAGTCATGGATAGTTATCACCCCTATGAGGTGAGGCTTCATATAAATATGAATAAAATCTGAGAGTCATAAATAAACCAGATAAACAATAAAAGCAGGTCAGATGTCACTTCATTAGGATGGATTCTAAACATGTAATCATATTAAACCTAAAACTGAAGAATTAATTTACTTTTCCTTATATCTTGACTAAAATCCACCTGCTTAGGGTTGCATTTGAAACATAATTAATTATGAAT